TTCTTTCTTTCTTTCTTTCTTTCTTTCTTTCTTTCTTTCTTTCTTTCTTTCTTTCTTTCTTCCTTTCTTTCTTCTCTCTCTCTCTCTCTCTCTCTCTCTCTCTCTCTCTCTCTCTCGGATTTTAAGACAGGGTTTCTACATAGTCCTGGAACTTGGCTGGCCCTGAACTTAAGGAGATCTGCCTGTCTTTGCCTTCTTAGTTCTAGGATTAATGGCATGTGCTACCACTCTGCCTATTGCTGGAATATTCTTGACAGACAACCCTGAAATTGTCAGAAGCAAAGCATTTACATAAATAAAAAATGATGCAAATGTGACAGAATGTGTCATAACAAAACAAGACTGACTGCATGAGTGAGAGAAAGCCTGTCTCTCAGACAATCGCTGCAATAAAAAAAGAACAAAAGAACACACAAACAAGAAAGCACTGACACTAGGGCACTCCCCTACACCAGGAGCAGGAAGGACATTCTGACATTTCCCTTCTCTCCTGAGGCAGACCATAAAGTCTAGAGAGAATTTCTGGCCTTTCTCTGAGTCAAATCCTATACTGCTCCTCTGGGCTTGTGGGAGGAGGAGGCTGAGAAGAGGCCTCCCCACACCAGGATCACTCTTGTCTTTGTCTTACACTTGAGCAAACGTCTTGCCAAGGCCTCTGATTTAATACTCTTATTATCAGATACGTTTCTCCACAGCTCTCCATCACGTCAGGCAGAGGATCACTCAGGTTTGTTGGACTCTTGCTTCATTTATGATTTCTCAGACCACATAAGACTTATATCTGTATTCTTTGTCCTGGTTAATAAAGCTTCTGTTCTAGGGGTTCCCAATTTTGAACCTGAACCAACAGAGGAACAGATAGTTTGCTTCCCCTGAAATAACAAATGGTACAAATTTCGAATAACCTGGTCACATAGTCAGACCTTGTCTAAAAGAAAAAAAATAAAAAACAGGAAAATAAAACAAAAAGAAAGCTAAACCCAAAATATTTAAAAACAGTAGCAACAACCAAACAAATAAACAAGTAACAACAGTAACAACAAAAGTCAAAGGATTCATTTTTCACAACATAAATGAATACATCCTAACTGGCATAAAATTAGCCCCCCTTAAAACAAGAGGTATTTATTTAACTTTCTTTTACTTACCTCAGAAATATCACCAACAAAATCCCCATAAAACAGATCAATGGGAGAGTCTGATGCTTTGGGATTGATTAAGAGGGCATCAAATTCCTTGCCAACTTCAAAGTTTCCAATCTCACTATCCAATCCCAATGCTGCAAACGAAAGCAAGTGACCAGCAGTCAGAATTACCTCAAATCATTCTGATGTCCTTGTTTGCAAGGCTAGACTCTGCCAACACATAACTAGAGCCTTCAAAATTAGTACTTTAATGGTGGAGCAGAAAAGTAACCTCATCCCAACAGTCACAGAGCCTACGTATAGAGAGTGGAGAACAGGAAAACATATAGCTGTGTTCACCATCATGGTCACAATTCTGATGATGTCCTGACTTCAGCTGTCAGTGCACTCCATGGAAGCCTCAAAGCAGCAAGCCTAACACAAGACCTACCTACCTTTTTCCTCCCCAACACTCCTGGCTGTGCCTTTTTATTCCACAAAATAGTTGGTAATATTTATTTTCATTGCAGTGAACTGAAACTCAAATTTAAAAAAATGCAAAATTTTTATTTCAGGCATATCCATCATGAATTTTTAAGTTTCAATAGAAAATAATAATAATAATAATAAACTTTTCAAAGTCCAAAGATCCTATAACTCAAGTTTCCCAGTGATTTTGAAAGGAAGTCACTCTGAAGCTTTAAAGGTTTTCTGGTTGCCTAAGGAAAATGGTTTCTTAAAATAGGGTACAGGCCAATAATGTCTACTGACTTCTCCCATCTTACAGCTGTAACACATGTGCATGGTCACTCAATGCCAAAGAACAGGTCTCATGTTCTTTAATAAAATTTTGTAATTTATTATAGAATTGCGGGTTTTGTTGTCAATGATACTGTTAGATTGGCAGCTCCTTAAAGCCTGTATTCTGAGCAGGTCATGCCGTAAGGTCACAGATCACTGCTATATTGTCCAGTCCAAGATTTACTCATGTCTAGTGCATCCTGCCACTGCTAGGGTATCTTATAATGTAGAAGTATTGGATAGATTTTTCTTTTCTGGTGTAGCACAGTACCTGACATGGGATATTTCTGTGCACAGGCATCCTGATAACTTGGGAATTTTCATAACACCAAGTTAGAAATCATACTTGTTCTTAAGACATTACTTAAATAGCAACTGCTTTTCACTCTCAGAACAGAAAAGGCTTTCTAGCCTAAAGACATCTCATAGCCAGAGAAGGGTGTAGAAATAATAACTGTTAAAAGCATCTAGCTGACTTCTGGGAGAGCCTAGTGTGAACCAAAATTACCAGAGCACTGATACTTTTCTTTTTTGCTGATTGCATGTTCATTTATGTCCTTGATAAAGGAGCACCACACTATGAGTTATTTTGTTTTGTATTTTGAGACAGGGTTTTTCTGTGTATCTCTAGCTGTCCTGGAACTCGATCTGTAGACCAGGCTGGTCTCCAACTCAGAGATCCACCTGCCTCTGCCTCCCAAGTGCTGGGGTTAAAGTTGTGCACCATCACTGCCTGGCTTATACTATGAGCATTCAATGACTGTATTCAACATGAAATTGTGTATTTAGTAGGCCAGAGCAGCTGACACAGTTTTGAGGTCCCAGAGGGTCTGATGGCATAGCTAATCTAAATGGACTGTTCATCAGAACAGGAAGAGATCAGAAACGAACTAAACAAGAAACAGATGATGGCTTCAGTGAACTTGCAAATGGATGTAACTCTAAATCTTTCCATAGATCCAACCAGGCTGGTCAGCAACTCAAATGGCTTTAGAAAACACACTTGCTACTTTCGGAATGGCATGCTGGCTATGTGTAGATGGCTGATAGGAAGTGAGGGTAAAGGTTATGGCAGAACTGGTAAGTGTCACTCTTTAAACAGGGATGTCTTCAGCCTGTTTCACTCAGGCTGAACTAACTACAGACATAACCAAAGAGTAGAAACTCCTTATAGTAACCAGGGGTCCAACATCGATTTAAAAGCTTCACTCCCAAGGTAGAATGACTTGGCCACTTCCCACAGCAACTTGATCAGAAACAGTAACCTTAGTAAAGCAAAACACTGAGCCTAGGATGAAAAACACCACTTCTGTTCAATCCTTTTTCATCAGTGGGTGGGTATCAGATCATTGAGCTAAAGTATGTAACATATATAATGGTGCTATGTGGGAGGGCCACACTTAAGAATTTCAGAAATGAAGTTAAAGGCCTAGGGCAGTACACAGGATGTAACTATGTTTTCTCTCTCCCTTGAAATGCTCTTTTGGTATTCATCATATTCTAGAACACACAAAGACAATATTCCTGGCCTTCTATTTCTGATCTGTGGCATCTATCATAAAGCCACAAAGATCTGTGTTTGTATTTTAATTGCACTGAAGCCGTCAGTGCTTCAAAACTATTTTCATTATGCCAAGTTTCTAAAACAAACCAAAGTGATTGTTTATATCAAGTCACACACAAGAACTAAGGAAAGAGGAACAATATTTGTCTATCAGTCAAATACACTGTCATATCTTTCTCCATTTAAAGAGCTTTGAGTAGTCCGTGCATGGCCAGGCAAGGATTTATACAGGAAGCATAATGAGATTAGGTTCTTCTCTCTGGATTAGTGCTTTCTGGATTCAAAACATGGTGCACCTTGGAAGCTGTGTATTCCTCAGGTTCATTTTGTATAAAATGCAATTAACAACAGTGTTTGTGAGGACTGAATATCCAGGGCATTCACCACACTGCCCCGTGGAAAGAATTCAACTGTCTTGGCAATCACTTTTTGAAAAGCATTATGATTCAATGGAAGACTGAATTGTCTCAACTCATGCATATGGTTAGTGTAAATATTCATTAAAATAATATGACAATAGTACATTAAACAGTTATTTACCAAAGAGTGAATTCGTTGAAGGAATGGTTGCTCCATCACATGGCTCTGCTTTAGGTATGTTATATGACATGTATCAGTCATGACTAGAAGATTTGCCTTAGCTCACTGTGGTGTACATTTGATGGCTGCACATGGTGCGCGAGAGGAAGAAACCGGTCATTACCTTGGCTTCCTCCAAGAGTGGCTAGTCTGAAGACTTCTTTGAGGGTGAGGCTTTTCTCATTCACCTTATTAATTAAGAGGATATTGGAAACCATCACTGCTCTTCTGATGGCATCGAGCATGGAATAGGAGTAACCACCAGCCACATCTATGGTAGGAAAGACAAAGCCCAAACAGGGACTTTACACAGATGGATGGAACAGTAAGCATGTATGTTCCCCACCACCACCCCTCTTTGGTTTTAATGACAAACATTCTTTCAGTTTCTAAAGAAGTTCTCATCGGTAAACATATTAACTATAAACCAACATTTAAATGAATTCAAAACTTGTCATTTGCATAAAAGCAGAAGGGGGCATTACTTAGGGGGAGGAAAAGGATAAATAAGATAAGGGCACAAGAACGGGGCACAAATGAGAACCAATGTAAATGAAAATACTCATATCAAAAATGCTCCAGCAAAACCGATTACTTTGCAAGATGATTTATAAAAACTGCCTGTTATTCAAATCAAATGTATTCCAGGATTAGCTTCTAGGATTGCCCAAACCATCACAAGTTCTGTGACTTAACACAACAGAAATTTCTTCTCTCACAGTTAATTTTGGAAATCAGAAGTCTAAAATCCAGGCAGGGCTGGCTGGGCAGTGTCACTTGGTGTCAGAGTGTGTTCAGAGTCTGTACCAGGCCAGGGCTTCAGACCCCAGCACCACTAAGAGTGCTTAGCAAGGATTCCAGCCCTTCAGAAGGTCCAGGAAGAATTCAGATTTGTTCCTCCCAGCTTCTCATGCCTCGTGGAGATCTTGGCTTATGGCAGTAACTCCAGTCTCTGCTCCATGTTGACATAACCCATAACAAAGGGTCTTTGTGCCTTTCCTTTTCCATCCCTTATAGGCATTGATTATCGAGCCCCATTTCAGAATGAGTTCATCTTGCAAGCCTTACTTTAATTCCATCTACAAAACCTTTAGTTTTAATATGGCCATAATTATAGGTTCTTTTGGGGGCTACAACTCAACCAACTCTAATGTCCACTTGGATAATAAATAAATGCAGGCAAAACACCTACATTTGTGCATTTATGGTACATAGTATGACTTTGTTTTGTTTTGAGTGCTATGGTTGGAATTCAGGGCCTCAGTTATGTTAAGCCAATATTCTGTCATTTTAGCCCTTCCTACGCCATTTTGGTGTTTGGATGCATCATGTTGTGGCTCAATCAGGTTATTTAACAAGTAGATATACATTTTCCCCCCAGTGAGATCACTTAAAATGTCCTCTTAGTACTTTTTGAATGCATAATATATTATTGGTTATGGTTTCCAGAATATACACTAGAATTCGCAGACTTCTCTGGTCCAACTGAAATTTTGTCTTTGACCAATTGATTAAACTGTATTAAAAGAACACAAGGTAATCTTAACATGGTCCATTTTGTAAAGCACTTTCTTTAAATGTCAGTTGTAAAGCTGAAAGTGCCATTTACTTAAATAGCTTCTCTTGAAGATGGCTGAGCTGCCTACCCACAGAGTACAGTAGGTTGTTTGAGGACATTGAAGCAATATTATTATTATTTACTCATTTTATTTTAATTCTTCCTGTTCTACTCCCTATATGAAAGTCTCTTTTACTTGGTCTGATCAGTGCTCCAGACAACACAAACCTGGGTTTGAACAGTGGTTGTGTAACACTCTTAGCTATAAACTAACTGGCAAGCCTGGGTCTTAGAAGACTCATCAATAAAACAGAGAAAATACTTTTAATTTTGGAATTAAATAAAATAATAGGTATAAAGCTAAAAAACAGCTAATTTTTTTTTACTAAAGTATTGAACTAAGAATATAATAATTTGGGAAAAATGTACATTAAAGGTTCAACTATTTTGTTTTGTACTTCCTTCTTTATCGCTAAAATAAAGGAGGTGAAAGAGTAGAATGATACTCAATTACTGTGTGGTCTGAAAATATGCAAACACTAAATGTATTTCATTATATGAAGATAGGGGCTTAAAGTGAATGTAGGATAAGAAAACAGAATGGTGAGAATATAGAAGATCTAAGTAATAGCAGTTTTTTAAAAAATATTTTATAAACTATTACAGAAATTGTGGAGCACATCTTTAATCCCAGCAGAGACAAAGGCAGGCAGATATCTTTTGAGTTTGAGGCCAGTTTGGTCTTCATGGTGAGTTCCAGAACAGCCACGGTTATGTAGAGAGAGAACCTTTCTCAAATGTGTTTAATAGAGAGTTTTTGTTTTCCCCAAAATTTTCTACTAAAAATAAACTTCGAAGAATGCAAGAGATTAAGAAACAATGTAATTTATTGAATATTTTTGAGACATGCCTTGTTACCTTGTTGATTAGAACATTTTATAACCTTTGGGTTGACAATGTAATGTCAGGAAAAGAGAATCTAAACAAATAGCAATAGTCACACAAATCATGGTATTTAGCCAGGGTCAGGGATGTTTAGTTCTAGGTATCAACTTGGCTGGATTAAGAAATGCCTGGAGGATAGGTGAAACATTACTTTGGGATTTGTCTATAAGAACAGGGAAGACCTGTCCAGATACTATGCCATTACCTGTAAGCCCACAGAACACAGAGAATTCTGAATCTCTCTCTCTCTCTCTCTCCTCTCTTCTCTCTCTCTCATTAGAACTGGAAAACACTCTTCTACTATCAACCTGACATCAGAACTCCAGGCAGAGGGAATAAAAGAAGCATAGAGACAAAATACTAAAGACAAACTGTGCTCAGTTTATGACAGGGAAGGTGGACGTGGAGAGCCCATTTTGAACAGTCAAGGAAGACCTCTCTCTGGTACTAAGACATGAGAAGAATTCAGTCACACGGGGGCTAAGGGCTTTTGGTCTGAAGGAGTGTAATTCATACAGCATGTACATGCAGGAGGTGCACTGTGAGATGATACTGGGAACCAGATAGTGTCACAGGCCTGGTGACGGCCCTGCACGTTCTGAGTCCTTGAGAAGACTGTTAGGCACAGAGGGTGAAATGACCAGATTTTTGTCATTCTTTCAAGAAGAGAAAAATTATTAGAAGGGCCCAGGATGGACTGAAGGCCTATGAAGTCCAGTATTTGAGCAGGAAACAATGGCAGCCTATGGCATGTGGTCGAGAGCAGTGTGGAAAATGAAGTGGTTCCAGATGGTAGGAAAGTGACACATCGCTGGACATTGTGCTGGCTTAGACATGAGGGAGAGAGGACAAAGATGGTTGGAAGATAATATCCTTGCTTCTATGTGAAAAACAAAACAACAACAAAAAACCCTGAATTCTCTGACAAGGAGACTTCTTACCAGAATTGGGGCTAAATATGACTTGGGAGGCATAATGGACTTTGAAGTTCACAAGAGAAGGGAGAGTATCTACAACTGAAAATTCAGTCATAGATTTCAAAGAGGAGGAGCTACCCTCCTTTGAGAGTCTCCTGCCCCCAGGGGTGTTGCAGGGGTGGCTGCGGCGTCTCCTATGCATCAGTAGGTGGCAGAGAGGAGAGAGGGTATGTCTACATTCAGTGAACATCTTTAGTAGGATTAGCAGCCTATCACTCTCTGAAAAAAAAGTCTGAGATGACCATCAGTCTAGAGCTAGGGGGCCCAGACAGGGGCCTAGCCTGAGATGACTGCTAGTTAGGTGCCACAGGCCAAGACAGGCTCTCAGGGTGGGGCGTAAGCTGGAGACTAGAAGAACCCTGCCTGTTACCATGGGAGTGAGCCTGAGCTGGTTGACTCTCGCATTGGGCCACTCAGGCAGCCTGGGTAAGGAGCTCGGACAGGGAGATAGCCTGAGTTGACCATGACCATCACTCTGTCACCATGCAGTTGGCACTGGGCACATGTGAGGACATTTGACCCCTCCACTAGCCAGCTACAGGAGTCAAGAGAGTAGTCCCACATACTGTGAGAGTTGCGGCATTGTTGCTGATGAGCCGGCCCAAAGATATGAGCACGGGAAACCTGGCCCTGGGGAGGTGAGAGAGAACCCTGCACCTTCCCTGGGCAGCACATTAGAGCTGATCCTGGTGGCAGGGACACTGTCAAGAGGGCCCTGATGGCGTGAGTGTGGGAGAGCAGGCTCCGACGCTTGTCTACCTTGTGGTGACATGGGTGAGGGAGCGATGGCCCCCCTCACCCCTTGCCACCTGCAGTAGGCAGAAGAGCTTGCCCTGAGTTCATCTCAACAGAAGAGCTGTCCCTGCTCCTCCCCTGCTGCAGCACTCAGGAGAGCAGGGCCTGTACCTTGCCTGGGCAGCACAGCACAGCTGTCCTGGGATGTGGGGGTTGTGGGTGAGCCAGCCCAAGGGTGAGCCCACACTGCCTCTTATTTGCTATGGGGTGGCATCCATGAAGAAGAGATCCCCTTCCCTTCATTTTGCTTTCTCCACAGGAAGCAGGCAAGAGAGTTGGTCCCTACCAAGTCACAAGAGCAGGAGAGAGGGCCCTGCACCTCACCTAGGCAGCAGAGTAGAGCTTGCCCTGGTTGTGGGGGATTGCCAGCAAGGCAGCCCTGAGGGCATATGAGTGAAAGAGCTGGTGGGCTGACCAGCTCAGATACCACTCAGGCCCATATCCAGGGCTGTGACTGTTTTAATGAGTTTGTACATCTTGCTATAGGTATTTGTTCTATATACTTAAACTTTCCCTTCAGGTTACTTCTTGGGCCTTAGTCACTTTATTTTGTCCCTTTCTTCATATTCTAAAATAGGAGTAGGAGTTTTATTCATAATTTTTTTGGGGGTGGGGTTGTGTAGCTTTGGCTGTCCTGGGCTTGCTTCAGACAAGGCTGGCCTTGAACTCACAAAGTTCCACCTGCCTCTGCCTCCCTGAGTGCTGGGATTACAGGCATGCGCCACCACACCTGGCCATAATTCTTCAAGTAATTTTTTTTAATACAGGGTAAACATTCTAGATCCAAAATTCTGAAATCTCAAAGGCAAGCAAGTTACAACATACTAGAAAATTCCATATCTGATACCATGTGACACAGGTATGCTAAGAAGACACTATAAAATTAAACCACTCTATATGTATTAGCTATATATGAAACATAAATGAATTCCAAATGAAGACCTATGTTCCATTCCTTCAAACACTTCTTCCTTACACAGCATACATCGCTTAAAATTTTTATGATAACATGTTAAAAAATATACAAATAATATCAGGCATATAAAACCAAACCTCAAGGATCTGATGCTTAGTTTCAAAAAACAATTATCACATGTTTCCACCAAAGGAAATTCTTATGTCTTACCATGACTTACTTTTTAAAAATAGATAAACTTTTAACACTGCTAACATGTTCTTTTTTCCAATTTCTAAAATAATTTATCTAAGAAACTTTGGTTATTTATGTAGTACTCTTCAAACAAATCCACTTTTCTAAATTCCTTGATGCTGTCACTGTTTTCAATTTGAACCTCAGCAGAAGTGTGTCACCAACTCTGGTTACACCTTCTTTTGACATTATCAACACAATTAATTGTACAAGTGAAGGGATTTTGCTGTGGCAGTTCCACAGATGAATGTGGTATATATCATTGATCCTGTCTATTTTTCCCTTCTTTCACTATTTTCCCCATCCTCGTGACCCCCTTCCCACACAGTCCATTTTCTACTCTCTGGCCATCTTTGTTTTTTTGTTTGTTGGTGGGTTGGCTTCCAAATGTGGGAAATCACATGACCTTGTGTCCTCGTAACTTGGTGATTGACTAGTGACGGTGTTCCATGACTTCCTGGTATGTACTTGCATCCCTGTATAATATGACCCTTCATTTTGACTCATCACTAATGATAGAGACTTTCTTTTTTTTTTTTTTTTCTTTTATTGCGCACGTGTATATATGTGTTTGTGTATGTGTGCTCACACACAAGCACGGGCGTGTGTGCACACGCTGAGATAGGGTCTATGTAGCACCGGGTAACCTGGAACTCATTATGGAGGCCAGGCTGGACTTGAACTCACAAAGATCTCCTTGCCTTTGCCTCTTTTTTTTTTTTTTGTGAAAATTTTATTTTATTTTTTTATTTTTAAATAATTTTATACATTCACTTGTATCCCAGCTGTAGTCCTCTCCTTCTTTCTCCCCTAATCCTCCCCTCCCTCCTCTCCTCCCTGCCCCCTTCCAAGTCCACTGAAAGGGGGTGTTGTCCTCTCCTTCTATCTGGCCCTAGTATATCAGGTATCTTCAGGATGGTTGCAATGTCCTAATCTGTGGCCTAGCAAGGCTGCTCCTCTCTCATGGTGGAGGGGAAGCTCATGAGTTCATGTCAGAAACAATTCCTGTCCCCCTTACTAGGGAACCCACTTGGATACTGAGCTACCATGGGCTATGTCTGAGCAGGAGTCGTAGGTTATATCCATGCATGGTCCTTGGTAGGATAAACAGTCTCATAGAAGCCCCCTGTGCTCAGATATATTTGGACCTTGTGAGGCTCCCTGTCCCCTCTAGGATATAATAATTCCTCCTTCCTTCATATGCTTTCCTACACTCTGCCGAAGGCTTGGTTATGGGTCTCAGCATCTGCTTTGATACACTGCTAGGTAGAGTCTTTCAGGTGCCTTCTGTGGTAGGCTCCTGTCTTGTTTCTTGTTTTCTCCTATTTCCAATGTCCATCCCCTTTGTCTTTCTAGATGAGGATTGATCATCTTACCTCTGGACCTCTTTTTTGTTTATCTTCTTTAGGTGTACATATTTTAGTATGTTTATCCTATCTTATAGGTCTATATAAGTGAGGATATACCATGTGTGTCTTTCTGCTTTTGGGATACCTCACTCAGGATGATTTTTTTCTAGATCCCACCATTTCCCGCCTGCAAAATTCATGATTTCCTTGTTTTTAATTGCTGAGTAGTATTCCATTGTGTAAAAGTACCACAATTTCTGTATCCATTCCTCCATTGATGGACATCTGGGTTATTTCCAGGTTTTGGCTATTACGAATAAAGCTGCTACAAACATGGTTGAGCAAATGTCCTTGTTGTGTACTTGAACATCTTTTGGATATATGCTTAGGAGTGGTATAGCTGGATCTTGAGGTAGCACTATTCCTAATTATCTGAGAAAGCGCCAGATTGATTTCCATAGTGGTTGTACCAATTGACATTCCCACCAACAATGGAGGAGGGTTCCCCTTTCTCCACAGCCTCTCCAGCATGTGTTGTCTCTTGAATTTTTGATCTTAGCCATTCTGATGGGTATAAGGTAATGATAGAGACTTTCAAGTAGTTATTTTCAAAGGGATCATAAGGGAAATATTTTCCAAGCCTTTATAAAGGTAAGAAGTTTGCTGTTTTTACACATTAAGGAGTGATGGCCAAATATATAGTTTTTTTTTATTAATAAATTTTTTTTGGCCTTCAAACTCTTTGCTCGACTTTGCTATTTTTGTACCACCACCAACAAAAACAGTCATCTGCAGAAAACTGGCTTTTGTTTTGTTGGTAACTTTTTATTCCTTGATTTAATGCTTTGGGAGCACTTTTGTTCTTCTTGAAATTAAAATATTTTGCCACAACATGTTTGATTATGACTTCGCACACAGGGGGTGTAAGTTCTCTCAACACTTTTTTTTTTTCTCAAGCTCTGACCATGACCTACTATGTCCATCCCAGTTCCTCATCAGCCAGGAACACCTGTCTCAGGACTGCCTTAATATCCCCTCACCCATGCTCTCTGCTCAGTTTCTGCCCCCCTCATCCTGTAACATGAATGGGCTCTTGCTCAGTTTTATTCTCTACATCACTGACTAAATTTTCAGCAAGAGTCATTTAATTCCTTTTTTTAAGATTTTATTATACTTTTTTTTTTAAATTATGTGTCTGTGTGTGAGTTTGTGCATGTGAGTGCAGGGGCTTGTGTAAACCAGAAGAAATTGTTACATCCCCTGGAGTTGGGAACAGACAGTTATGGGCTGTTGGACATGAGTACTCAGTTTGTAAACGAAGAACAGGCATAATGACTTCTAAACTTCTCTGTCTTTGGTTGATGCTTACTGTTAAGAGGTCCATCCTAGCAGCTAATAAAGCCCAGTGCCTTTTAAGCACAGACCCATTACCTGCAAACCAGTTACATCAGAATAGTATTCATCAATTCGGCTCCAGGTGGAGGCTGCTTACCTGTCCCCAACCCTATCTTCACTTTATGCTTCAGGACATCAAGCACGTTCAGTAAGCCACTGCTCAGCCTAAAGAGAAAGAAGATGCAAGACAAGAAGATCTGGGTGATTGAGAGCATAATGACACTGCCAAGAGCAATGGTGATGTCACTAAAAAAAAAACAAAAAAAACGCTGATTCTTATTCTTATCAGTCCTAAGGTCCACAGTCAGTCAGACCAGGCCAGGGAAGTGGTGGAATAAAGAAGACCATAAACATCTGCTTCTTGGTCCATGGTCATTCGAGAGGATGCAAATTAGCAAGGAACATGGGGAAAGAAGAGGAAGTTTTACATGGAAAATGGTGAAGAATTAAGCATTGTAGTTAGCCTGTAAGTTTAACAGAGCTACAGAGTTTCTAACAAACTTCTCCTTTAATGATGGAAAATACAAATTATAAAACATCACCTTCCTTCTGTGTCCAGAACAATGTATTACACTAATGAGAAGCAATTTGTATTAGGGCACAAAAAATAATACCCTGGTGTGTGATGCTTTTGCCTTATAAGCAGCCTCAAAGGTGAGAGTATGTCACTGGCCTCCTTTCCCCCTGTCTCTGTACCATAGAAGCCAGAATTTCTCAGGCTGTGGTATAGTTTGGAGGTGGAGTGTCTGTTTGGTATGCATAAGGTCCTAGGATCATCAGAAACAAAACAACCAAAATTTCTACTGTTTTTCCCTAAGTACACCACAAAATTATTCTAATCTTCCATCCTTATGTCTTACGCTGGTCAGGAAGTGATTCTCGCACATACTTTGTCTTATAAACAGCCACATGCCTCCATTTTGGAGGAGGTCCTGCCCCATTCACAGAAGACAAACAGTATGACATAAGGACCAAGAACTGAAGATGCCTTCCCCAGAATCTCAACTTGATAACTTGGCACTAGATGGAAACCTCTTGGTCCAGTTACATTTCTGTATGGTCGTTATGCTCCATCATATTGAAGCATAAACAGAGGAAAGTTCTCTATGTCTGTTGGTCTTTATTTAATGGTTCTTAGCACATGAAACTTGGAGTAAGCACATTTGCCAGACTTTTATCTCATTAACCAGTTTTATCTTAGAATATTGGTGATGGTCTTATGATAGATAAGAAGAGATATCTTCCCTCATGTTTTTCTTCTCCTGTGCTTACAGGGTCAAAGATAGTACAACTAAAAAGCATGGAGGCCAGTGAATTTGAGCTCTGATATTCAAATGCTGATTTTTAGGATAGTAGCAACTCAGAGAGGGTCCCTGGCCTGATATTTGAACCCCATCATCTTCACTCTGTTAAATCAACGAAATGACAAAAGAAGCTCAATTGTGTCATTAGAAGTTTAAGAAGATGCCGGGTATGGTGGTGCAGACCTGTAATCCAGCACTTGAGAAGGCAAAGGCAGGCAGATCTCTGAGAGTTTGAGGCCAGCCTGGTCTACAAAAGTGAGTCCAGGACAGCCAAGGCTATACAGAGAAACCCTGTCTCAAAAAAAAAAAAATTAAGAAGATGAGGTGGTCAAATGGCTCCACTATGCTCAAGGATGCGCTGAACTGTAATTTCCAAAGCCCCAACGTTCACAAGGAAAACCCAAAGTCCTAGAAGATCAGCATTTATTTGAAAAGCTGGATCGTGTTTTGATTTAGAGAGTATTTTACAGTTCATCTAAGGCATGTTAAATTCTTGTCCCTAGATTGTAATTAAGGTCACTGAGACACATGCATTTACTTTCTGTTTGAAAACTCAATGTCTTCTCAGACCTTCAAATCAACTAGAAAAATGCCCCATGTCCCTAGGAGCCCTTCCCACCTTGCCATGGACACATACACCTGTGTCAATCACAAAGCCCCTAAGCTTGCTAACATCTCTCGCTCTTTGCTGCGCCTCCATGCTGGAGGCTGTTTTGTTCTTGTTAGGAGATACTCAGAAGTTCCAGGGAAATGATGCACCAACACAGTCACCCCTAGCCCTCTGTCACTGCTGAAGGTTTGCTCCTGCCTTGGAGTCCTCCATTCTTGGGATGGACAACTGATAGTTGTTTGAGTTCCCTAAAAGAATTCCAGGATTGCACTGTGGTAACCGGTGTGATGCTATTGACTTCTTTCCTGTGTGTTGGGCTTCCCAACACTCTATATCAAAGCCTGCCCCCACCCTCACCCCTCCAATACACTACTTGTACAGCTATAAGTTTCTAACCCAGCACCTATGAACTAGAACATGTTGCCCCCAATTTCCCTAAACTTAGACACAGTATTTTCACATCTATGTGCTTTTGTTTTGTTTTCCTGGAGATACAAGCTATAAGTTTCAACTGATTCACTCATGAATTCATAACCCATAAGAAGGTTAAGAACATGTTACAAATGAAGCTTTCATATTCCGGGGAAATGATGTAGATTGAAGTCCCTCCTGGGTTTTCCTGTATGAGTTGCATCTCACCCAAATCAGCAGCACAACCGAGTTCTGTATTGTCCATAACTACCTTCTAAACTCCTGGGGACCATTTCCGGGGGACATGCATTCTTTCAGTCTGTTGTAAGCTGTAAAACATGAATGCTGTTGTGTTTAAACTCTAGGTTCTACTTTCTCTTGCTGAGTAAGTACAGAGATTTCCAGAGATGCGGGTGCTCTTTAAATGTATAGACTGTAAAAATGCCCTCTTCCAAATCCCTTCTTTCTTTACCTTCGTACACACCTACTTGGTTCCCTTCTCACTCAGACCAACTGTAGAAACAGATCCTATAAGAAGGAATTACTGAGAAAACAGAAGATGCCTATCTACACTACACATTAATAATCTGTCAAGCAATTATTGTCTACTTACGACAAGTTAGAGTTGGGACAATGTGCAATGGATGCTCCTCGTTCACTGAAGATGTTAAGTTCTTCTTCAGAAAGGTAGCAGCCATGAGCCATCACTGTCTAGAGAGAAGAATATTCTTCATGGAGTTTACCACTAAAAATGCTTGCATTAATATTCATGGTTAAATATTGCAAGAAGATACAGAAGCAATGGCCTTTACAAGAACAGTTGCTATTATCTGAAGGGGAAAAAAAATCCCTGCATCTAAATATATATTACAAAAGTTTCAACAAATTTGTATGATCTATGTATCTATGTATCTATCTATGTATTTTTCTATGTATCTATCTATGTATCTATGTATCTATCTATCTATCTATCTATCTATCTATCTATCTATCTATCTAGCGAGTGGTTGATTGATTGATTCAAGTACTGGCAGTCAAACTCAGTAGTACTCTATCACAGGACTCCACGCTAGCCTTAGCTTTTGCTTTTGATTCTTTTAGCTGATTTACAACACGGTAAGGGGTCAGCCAGCTCATGTGTGACATAGGAAATCCAGCCAGACTGAGCACATTGTCATTCTATCATCTCTACTGTAGAAAAATTCAAAGCTGTTTTCCTTTCTAAATCCATATGATATGCTTCCAGTAGGTTGATACTTGTTTATATTTGAGTGAGAACTTTCAAAAAGTACATGCAAGCTGTAAATATGATTTTGTAAAGAACTGTAGGTTAATTGTTGTAGATGGCTCATTTTAGAGACAGGGTCTCTCCATATATCTAAGGCTGGCCTTGAACTCATTATGGAAACAAAGCTGGCCTCATACTCATAATCTTCCTGCCCTAGCCTCTGGGATTCTTGGATTGCTGCCATATTGGAGAGAGTAGTCCTTTATTTCTGTTACTGGTTTCAATATAGGCCCCTCAACCATTAGCTCTCTCAAGACAAAATTGGGATATGTCATATCATAACAGCTTTTAGTTAAGGAGGTAAAACTTATTTAGAAAAGCTGGTGCCACACATGTTTGAGACCTCTCTAAAGCTCTATCTTGTCAAGATTTGTGGGTTTTCAAGTAACATTTAATTCTATATAAAGCCTATAACCAATTGCTTTCTCCTTTGGAAAGCATAGTTCAATAAATCATTCTCAATCTCTGTGCAAATAAAATTAAAATAAAAATGTAAGGTTAATTTATTAATAACATGGTAATATATGTAAAGGAGGATGACACTTCCAATGTAAAATTTACATTATTTATGCAAATTATTAACCTTTCAAATCACTTGCATTCATATTTCCTTTTGTGTAGTCACTAAGAAATTACTTGCTGCCGTAAACTCTCAAGGCAGCGTGCTCATTTCAGGAAGGCCAAGGCCAAAGGGTATACTGCTCTAATGAGGTCTCTTGCCACTCAATTAATTTTAATTAATTATAGAAATAATACATTCTCATTTTTCTCATCCTCAAAGTTTAAAAAAAATTACTTTTGACATTCACTGTGTATCTTTGGACAGCTCTTATGTGTGAGCTCTTTGTGAATGCTGGATGGAATTCTAATCATGTTTATTCTATAATTTAACAACTTCCTTGAGGACAGTCATATTCAAACTTTACTGTGTTATCCACACACTTATTTTTTTTATACTCTTTAAAGAATTAAAGAAATGGATCTGATTTAGAAATAGATCTGACTCAAAGGTAAGCATGCTGATGTACTAACTGTGAAAGCATCATTGGACAAAAGGTCATTCTTATCATCTAATAAAAAGCTTACTTTTAGCTGTGCGTGGTGGCACACTCATGTAATCCCAGCACTCTGGAAGGCAGAGGCAGGCAGATCTCTGTGAGGTCAAGGCCAGCCTGGTCTACAAAGTGAATCCAGGACAGCCAAGGCTACACAGAGAAACCCTGTCTTGAAAAACTGAAAAACAAAAACAAACAAAAAACATCACCAACAAAAACCCAAAACAAAATAAAAGCTTAGATATAATGATAGCAATGAAACTTCAGTCCATATTAAACACACACACACACACACACACACACACATACATACACACTATGCACACATAAACAGAGAAAGTGACACATACCATCTACACACATATATGAGTAGATAGGTAGATAAACAGATGATAGATGATGATGATGATGGATACACACACACACATATCTAAAGACACACATACGTTGGGTTTACTCTAGTTTGGAAAGTACATGTGTACTGCAGAACAGTGATTACTCATGAATTGCTGAAATTTAAAAGGTGAGGTCTACTTTACATAGATTATATCATGATCCTGAACTTACTTTGTTTGTCAGAAGATTGTTTTTATCATAGACATCGGTGTAGTTTTTGTACCCAGGGTATAAGCTTTTCACGGCTTCAATTTCTTCACGAGTTTCACTTACATGGCTCTGCAAACAAATAAATGTTTCATTTTTCTATAAAATATTTCACATTATATCTTCCATTTCAACATGCTATTGCTAGTTTCTGCTTACTCATCTTGTTGATGTAAGAGACTGCAGATGAAAACTTTGGTGTCTGTATTTGTGTTTCATTTTAAATAATTATGCATACCCTCTATGACAATATGCATAATGAAGAAACTGAATATCCTGAACATCTGTGTGTGTGTGTGTGTGTGTGTGTGTGTGTGTGTGTATGAGAGAGAGAGAGATAGAGAGAGAGATCTCAAGACAATCTTTCCCTCAAGTCTTGAAACTCTAGTCTATAGGAAGAACAAACACAGGTAATCTTTAAAGGGCACCCTGTGTCTTACTTGTAGCAGTCTGCCTATAAGAATTCAATGGCCACCAGAGGATAAGTCTATTGTTTATTCAGAAGGAAACTAAAATTTGAACAAGGAAAGTTGAATTCTAAGCCTAGTTATATGACTTAGAGCAAGTCAGTTCTTTTCTTTAAGCCTCCATTTCACATCACTCAACAAAAGGATTGGGCTAGTTTATTGACTTTCCATCTCTTAGCTGCAAATGTGTTACTCATATTTCATGTGTGAAATTTTACATAACTCAGTTCATTGGAGGAAGAAGGAAGACTGGGCTCAGGTGAGCTGACCCCCAAGGGCATGAGCTGGAGAGCTGACCCTGCCTCCTGCAGATGGTGGCATTTGGGTGGGCTATCTGGAACAGTGCTGGAGAGCTCACCATGGTGGTGAGAATGGGGGAGAACTGGTGGGCTGGCCAACTCGGCTACCCTCCAGGCCCAGATCCAGACCTCTGGGTTGGCCCACCCCAAAATCTGCATCATCGGTGAACTGCTGTGGTGCCTGAAAGAGGCTTGTACTGCCAATCCAAAGCTGTGGGATCTTCATGACCCAGGGCAACAACAGGATAACCAGGGAAGAGCCCAGGTGAGGATCCAGTATCGATGGTGTCACAGAAGCCAGAGGCCTCAAACCAGACCAATGACTCATTGCAATGGACATTTGCAAGTGAAGATGTGTGGACAGAGAGATGTACTGTGAAACACACCGCGACACACTACGGCTTCACAATGAGATGTTTTCTATGCTTTGTTTTGCTTACTTTGTTTGGTTTCTATTTTCTTGGGTGGGAGGTTGCAAGGATGGAGGACCAGTATGAGGGGACAGGACGGAAACTGGGACTGGGGTATACGATGTGAAACTCAAAAAGATTCAATAAAAAAAGCTGGGGTTTTTTTTGTTTTGTTTTGTTTTGTTTTGTTTTTATTTTAAAGAATAAAAACATTCTGTTTCCAATATGGAAATCCTATCTGAATTTGGAATTTTATCACCGGAGCATAACTGCTGGAGACTGAATCCAAAGTTCAAACATCAGCTACCACTAACAATAAGCATGGGAGATATAAGCCAATGGGTCCTGTGAACATAATTTAATAAGTAAGTAAGTAAGTAAGTAAGTAAGTAAGTAAGTAAGTAAGTAAGTAAGTAAATAAATAAATAAATAAATAAATAAAAAGGGGAGAAATCAACATGTGGCTTTCACTGCAGCTTTTCCTTTTCTCTAAGACTGCCAGCTCTGGAAAAGGGGAAATTTTAGTGCAGTGTGTAATTAAGTTCACGTGGGGGAGGGGAGCTCCTAATTTTAGCCCAGCTGTGAGATTTTAGAAAGCATTTTATTGCTAAATTGCAACAACTTAATGATAAAGGAAGATATACTTTTTGTTCCTGGTTTTAAATTAAGAAACTCAGAACAAAAGGATTTTAAATGCACTTCTGTAAGGTAGAAATTAAGTTCTTTTTACTTTTCAAATAATAATTGGTTCCTCCACAAATGAAGGTTCTAGAACACCAGGGAAGCATCAAATAAAAGTAGGAAGAAAGTGTATTACAGGCATTTTAACCAAAAATGGCTAGTCTGACATTGACCTTGTTATTCTTTATAAAGCTGTCTTAGCCTGTTGAAGATGGATCAGAGAATGTTGAGGATGACACCAGCTTCAGGATTCTGACCTGCAAAACTGACCAACCAGATTAGGTGACATTAGTCAGGGCTTTTCCCGGTGACGACATCAGACAGGCAGGCCACCTCCTGCTAACATCGGGGCATCTGCCCCGAAATTCTTTGACTGTAGAGGATCTCAGGAATAGATTATTATAGAACACCTGAGGGCCATTAGGTGACCCGAGGGTAGCAAGAGTTCTTGTAGGTGTAGCCTGAGGCACAAATCAAAGAAAAAAAAAAAAAACCACACCTACCTGGATGTACAGATCATGGGTTTTGGCGATGTTGCCAAGTTCACTCATCAGAGTCTCCGTGCAAGAAAGGGAAAAGCGTGGGGTCACTATGGGTTTCACCCTTGAATACTAGAAATGATAAAAAAAAAATTGGTGAGGAAAATATAGAGATGAACACTTAGAAGATTCCACAATGACACAATTTTATAGGTTTGATACTGATGAAAATCTCCAATTTCTATTCCACATAGGGTTTCAAAAAAACAGTTCATGTTTGAGAAGAGCATATTATTCAGCATCGAGTTTACAGAGGAAAGTTCTGTCTCTGATTATAGGCATTCCCTTACCATTACCTCAGATGAGACCTGGGGTGAGGTCTCAGGTAAGGTGGTGGCATATTTCCCTGCTTACATCTTGAGGAGGTGTGCTGGCAGCATCCTCACTTAGAACTCTTAGGTAATACCTCAGTGGGTGTCTGGCAGAATAAAATCACTATTAAAAGGATAGTAAGTGATAGGGTCCTCAATCGTCACTCTTAACTTGCCCAGCATTAAATTGGAAGAAGTTCTGAACATGCCTGTCGTTTTCACTGCAGCAGTGAAAAGCCAAAAGGGAAGGAAGGGGTAGGCTTACTAACCTATAAATCTGTCCTCTGGAGCCACAAACAGTTTTCACACTGTGCTTGGAAGCAAGAAATAGCACTGTTTTCATAGGCCCTGCAATGCCAGAGCAAAGCAGATGCCTGGCTGACTATCCATGGTCCTGGGATGTGCCACTGAGTCTGAGCCTGTTTCTTAATCCACTCTGGAGACTAGCAGCACACAGAACCAATGAAGAAGGCGCCATCAAACAGGTTCTCACAACCCACATGCTACCTATCTCCTCTGATCATGAAGCCCTTGCCTCTACAGAGACCAACGTGACAAGGAAGAGAAAATGCAGTGGGAAGGGGAGGGCTGAGTTGAAAGGGCGACTCCTGAGGGCACTGACTGAATAGCCTGAAGTGATGACTTGTATCTCAAGTGTCCCTGAGACTCACGTATGAGAAGGTTTCCAACCGACAGTGCTATTGGTAGATGACAAAACCTTTCGGAGGTAGAGCCAACTAGGAAGATGTAAGTTGTGGCTTCCTGGCAGCCATGAGGTAGGCAGCTTCCCTCCGCCTGGAACATCTGCCATCATGTTCTGCCTCACTATAGACCTAAAAGCCACGAGACCAAGCGATCATAGACTAAAATTGCCTTTCGTTCTTATAAATTGCTTACCTCAGGTATTCTGTTCCTGTGACAGACAGCTGACCAGCACACCTTAGACTAACTAAAAGCTTAGTGAACTTGGGATGGATTTCACACACCTGACTGAACTTGGGTTGCAAGTAGACAAAGGGTAGGGGAACCAAAAATAGGTACACACAATATCCCTCAAGCCATGAACTAGCTCAACAAAAGAAAGTTTGTGGCACATTTTAACAATAAATAATCAAATCTACTGAAATCAGGTGACTGTTCCTGACTACAAAACTGTGCTTTTTTTTTTGCTTTTTTTTTTAAAAAAAAAAAAAAAGGAAAAGAAAAGAAAAAGGAAAAATCAGAGTGGTGTAAACATATACCCTTGCACTGAAAAGCAAAAACCAGAAATTTCTATGAATTTGACCTTTTCACATTGCAAATACAGATGAGACCATGCAGTATTTCTCTTCTGAAATGGGTTTGTTTCATTTAACACAATGTGCTCGAGATTCATCAATGCTGCCTCAAAGGGAAATATCTTTTCTTTTTTTACAAATAAATAGTATCCCATTATACATGCACATATGTATACATACATACACAAATATGGGATATGGAAGACATTTAAATTATATACTACCACACATGTGCAGATGTGTGTGTATATACAAACATATATGTATACAATTTTTAAAATCTGTTCATCCATAGACTCCTAGGTTGCTTCCATATTTGGGCTATGGTAAGCAGAGCTGCAGTAAACACAAGTACAGATATTTCTCCAAAATACCAATTTTATTTCCTTTGATAGATAGCCAGAAATGGGGGTTTCTGGATCATATGAGATGCTGAGCAAAGGGCATGAGTTCCCAGTCATAAAATGACTGAATTACCAAGGCTTTTGTGTGGTCTTGCCATTACACGTGTGAATGGATCTCACTGCGGTCACCATTCAACACAGCACATGGTGAGAAACCGTCATTCTGTGCACCTCAATACTCAGTCTTTGTCAGGTGCTTTCAGTTTTAAAAAGCCGACCTCTCTGAGCTGAGCCATTGGCAGACTGTGTCAACACCTCTTCTGTGTAGATTAAGCCATAGGTACACAGACTAATCCATCAAACAACTTAACAGGTCCCTCAGCGGACAGAGCAGCACTCCAGGTGAAAACTGAACAAGTTTACTTACATTCTTTTGAAGCATTTCTGACACAAACCTGGAATGAAGGGACAAACACAAAGTTAGAAGGGTTAATTATTTTCAAATAAATGTTTCTAACAGCACCGGGTTCACTGCCACTAATTAGAGATTAACAAGCAATAATTACTCAGCTTTTTCTTTGATAGCAAAAGAGGGAGAGGAAAGTCACCGGGAATATTGTCCTGTGGCATCGTGCAGGCAGCTCTGCGCATCCACACAGGCCCCAGGCTGTCCCAGTGGCTCCAATCCTGTGTGATGGAGTTGCGGTGCACTTTGTTTCATGGACGATGAGGCCATGGATTCTTATGCACACACCGGCATTTAGGACCCTTGGACAGTGTCCTTCTAATCCCCTCTCACGTGGAAGCTATTTATATACACTGTATTGTCAGTCTCCAAGGGCAGATATTTGAGGAAGGTGAAGGACTATGACAGAAGGGTCTGTGAAGTATTGGGGAATGGTACAAATGGTGAACCTGCACTCCTGACTACTTGAATGGGGACCACTGTCCTGTGAATGGTTGTTTCTGTCCTGGCCAGAAAAGATTGTCAGTTTTCTTCCTTCTGGTATGCTTTCAGACTAAAATGTGAATTGAGAGCCTGGGGACGTACCTATGCGATAGGAACTTTTCAGGCGTGAACAAAGCCCGTGGCTCCATCCTTCCACCAGGAAAAACAAACTATAAATTAAGGTACAGTGACCACAACAGTGGACTGTGCAGGAGCCGAGCATGTGGCCACCGCTGAAGGCAGAGGCGCTGCCCTCTTCTGTGATGCATGATCCGCATGGCAGCCCTCACCTTGGCACTGCGGAGGGAGTATGCATGAAGTGAGAGGAGCCCAGAAAATAGAAGCAAACTTACGCCTGGAAAGTATAAACCTAAAGAAGTTCTTCTTTGTATCTCTTGATGTAGAATACAATGCAGTGAAATTCCCTGTTAAATATTCAAGAGACCACGGAAAAGCCATCAAAGATTATATAAGAAAAGTACTTAAATGGTCAATAAATTCCCAAATGTTATATGAAATTGAGCATAATGAAGACTCATGACATAGTGTAATCCACAACCAAAAGCAATTGAGGAGGGTGTGAATGTTATCCGAGTATTGCATACACACCTGTGTCACAATGAAAGCTATTGCTTTGTGCAACTATTTTTTTTAAGTAATTTAATGAGCAGGGCACCATACTTAACAAAGCTGGTCTTCTGGAGGAGCCCTGGCCTAATACAGGATATGAAGAGGGTATTGGTTTCTAAGTGAAGAATCCTTCTTTTGTGGAGCTGAGGAGATGGTGCAGTAGGTAGGAGCACTTACTATGCAAGTATGAAAACCTGAATTTAAATCCCGAGAGAAAGGAGTGGGGTGGACAAGTTGTGCATCCCTCTAATCCCAGTGCTGGGGGTCAGAGACAGGTGGATGCTGGAGCTGAAAACTTGCAATTCAGTGAGAGACCTTATCTCAAAGGAGAAAGACAGAGAGGCAGGGCAGGATACCCAACATCCTCCTCTGGCCTCCGTGGCTGTGTGAACCAGCACATACACTTATACATGACATATGTACAAACATGAGCAAGCGATTTTATAAAGTGGCCTAAACCCACTTAGTGACCTTGGCATGCTAGAAGACACACTTAATGTGTTTTTAAAATTTAAGTCTATATCTTAAGAAGACTCTAGAGTGTGCTACTACATCTCGAGATCCTTGGGCTTTGAAAGGAATTGCTTCAGCTGTGTGGGGGCAAAAAGCAGGAGGCTCAGGAGTCTGGACTACGCTGCCCTCTGCTCTTGCAATGTCTTTGTCAAGAATCACTTTCAGGTGAATTGAAAAGAAAATCTCTTCAAAAACATGCACTTAAAATTCCTACCTTTCCTACTCTACCCTTAAAGAGATCGTGTACTGGAACACATTTCCAGTTTTCAACACAGTTTTTGGTGAAGTATAATTTACATATCCTAAAGTTCACCCATTGTAAGTGTTCTATTCAATAATTTTAGCAAACTGACTCTGTTATGGAGTCATCATAATAATACAGGCTTAGACTTCTCATCATTGGAGTGAGATCCCCCAGGTCTATAGGCAGGAGATAGGCAGTATTTCCCTAGCACCCACAAACCTCTCCCACTTTGTCTCATGTGTGGACTTGCATTTTCTATATATTCAATATAAATGAAAGTTTATAAAGTGTGCCCTTTAGCATTCTTCTTGTTTTTCTTAGAATAATATTTTTAAAGTTCATCATGTTCTGACCGCGTTGTTTTTTATCTCATAGCTGATCAGTTTTATTGTATACCACATTTTTCTGCATCCACACATCATTCTGTAGACATACCAGGTGTGTGACAAGTCCTCTGATAGCCTTGGTGACATGGCCTTCTGCCTCTTTCTTTAACTCCCAGGATTAACTGAAAAAGGGGCTGCCAATCTAACATCTAGAGATTGAAGGGATCGGACACCTGAGCCTGGGCTCATCCTGTTTCCCCCCAGAACAGGATACCTTGTGGTTCTTTTGTTGGTTTTATTTCGTGTGTGTATTTCTCTACATGTCTGAGCACAATTGGCATGTGGTGCCTGTGGAGATCAGGGGAGGCCATTGGATCTCCTAAAACTACATATGTGTGAGCAGCCATGTATGTGCTCAGAACCAAAGCCAAATCCTGCACTGCCAAGACCTCTTTCTAGCCCAGTCCTGCAATTCTTTAACTCAGTGAGCACCTGCTTTGTATTTGGCATCTTTAAGTGGTGACCTGAAGACCAATCACATTAGAGTCTTCAGGTGGACCAGTTGAGTTGCCTCTCTGCACCGTGTTTCAACATTTCTGTCTGCATGTGGTGCTCTAGCTTCTATCCCTGGAGCTACAGATTACCTCAAATCAGACTATTCACATCCTCTGGTGAACTCACTCTGTGCCTAGAGACTCTAGAACAGGCTTTGGTCTCTACCTTTCAGTGTCTGTCTTGCCTGTGTGTCACGATCGAATGTGTCTAGATGTTTTCTTGCAAGCGCTCTGCTCCCCACGAATCCGTAGATGTGGGATAGGGGTACAGAAGGAATACAGCCTTCCCGCTGTGTGTCTGTGCCCTACTCCTCTCGTAACAGTTCTGGAGAGGGGGGATTCTAGTTCAGTACTTGCATATGTTGTGCTCATTCAAGGCTGTATCATGCACATATTTTTTTTCTGTTTCTATGACAATATAAAACAATCATGCTCGGTGGTTATAACCCACTGAAAACCCACTGAAAGGATACAGGTGTCTTTGGGTGGCTTAAGCAGAGAAAATGTCTCTGTTTTGTACCTCTGCATAATACACACACACACACACACACACACACATTTTCTCTTGGTTTTGAGAGAAGTTATCAGCATGTGGCTAAGGCTGGCTTGGAACTCATTATCCTCCCTCCTGAATCTCCCACATTGGATTGCAGGCATGTACTGCCATACCTGGCTGAGACATTTTTACCAAAATGTCTGTCACTCATCTATAAATGTAACAGTTTCTGTAACACCTGTGTGTTTTCTGTGCCTCCTCACACCATTATTCTTGAGCATGTGTAACAAATGCTCACACATGCCGCTCTTTTTCACACTAAGCATGACATGAGACCCATGCCACACTGAAAGGAACTCTACATTTGAAGTCACATAGATTCACTCTATTAAACCCTGGCTCTGACACTTTAATCTACATGAATAACATAGTTTAGATGGATGTCCCCCAAAGGTTCATGTGCCAAAACTTGGCCTCCAGGTTGGTGCTGTTTGGAAACAGGGTAACTTAGGAAGTGAGGTTTGCTGGGATATCTTTTTTTTTTTTACATTCTTTTTTTTATTTTATTTTATTTTTTTCTTATCAGTTACATTTTATTAACTCTGTATCCCAGCCGTGTCCCTATCCCTCATTCCCTCCCAGTCCCTCCCTCCCCCCCTCCCTCATCTCCACCGTGCCCCTTTCCAAGTCCACTGATAGGGGGGACCTCCTCCCCATTCATCCAATCCTGTTTTATCAGGTATCTTCAGGACTGGCTGCAAAGCTGTCCTCTGTGGCCTAATAGGACTGCTCCTCCCTTGGGGGGTGGGGAGGCCAAAGAGCCAGTCATTGAGTTCCTGTTAGAAATTGGTTTCACTATGGGAAACCAATTGGTTACTGAGCTACCACAGGCTACATCTGAGCAGAGGTTCTAGGTTACATTCATACATGGTCCTTGGTTGCATGTCAGTCTCAGAAAAGACCCTGTGCCCAGATATCTTTGGTCCTTGTGGAGCTCCTATCCTTTCCTCATCAGACTAACTCCCCTTCTTTCTTATGATTCCCTGTACTCTGCCAAAAGTTTGGTCATGAGTCTTTGCTTTGAAAACACTGCTAGTTGGAGTCTTTCAAATGCGCTCAGTAGACTCCTGTCATATGTTCAATGCACATCCCATCTGTCTTTCTAAACAAGGATTGATAATCTTACCCCATGTCCGCTCTCTTGATTATCTTTTTTAGGTGTATAGATTTCATTATGTTTATTATATCTTATAGGTCTATATAAGTAAGTATATACCGTGTTTGTCTTTCTCCTTCTGGGATATTTCACTCAGGATGATCTTTTCTAGATCCCACCATTTGCCTGCAAATTTCATGATTTCCTCCTTTTTGATTGCTGAGTAGTATTCCATTGTGTAAAAATACCACAATTTCTGTACCCATTCCTCCGTTTATGGACATCTGGGTTGTTTCCAGGTTCTGGCTATTACAAATAATGCTGCTATAAACATGGTTGAGCAAATATCCCTTTTGTGTACTTGAGCAAATTTTGGGTATATACCTAGCAGTGGTATAGCTGAGTCTTGAGGAAGCACTATTCCTAATTGTCTTAGAAAGCGCCAGATAGATTTCCAGAGTGGTTGTATCAGTTTACATTCCCACCAGCAGTGGAGGAGGGTTCCCCTTTCTCCACAACCTCTCCTTGCTGGGATATCTATAGGTCATTGGGCATGTGCCTCTTTGAGGCATTTTGGAATTCTAGCCAGTCCTCTCTCTCTGGCTATCCTTCCTGACTCCTAGGATACATCAGTATACCCTAACATCCACTCCTTCGCTAAAGGCATGTGACTCTATATCATATACTGAAACCTCTAGAACAATAACCCCAAAGACACCTCTTCTCTTTATAAAGTAATTATCTCTGGCATTACATCAGAATAACGGGAAATAGTCTACTGGCTGTGGGCAAGTCAGTCAGGCTATGTCAGGCTCAGTTTTCTTATTATAAAAGCAAATAAGCCAAAAACAACAACAATGACCCAGAAACCTTGTGGAACTTTCTGTGACGGTCAAGAATGGTGTGCAGGGGGAAAGCTCTGTGAGCCACTGACCACCAGCACATGCTTATAGGAATTACAACAACCAGAATAGCCTGCCACAGTGCTCAGATCCCAGCTGGGTCATAATGGTGCCTGCTTTTCTCCCTCCATTTCAAACTCCATCAGAGAAGCAGAGGACTCATCCAAAATACAGAACAAACACTCCCCCGAACCTCCCTCCCCACACTACCTCTCTGTCTCCTTGACTGATTCCTCAGTGGTCTCCTTGTATTCAGGAACTGTGTCATTCAAGTCCATGCATACTTTGCCCACAAATGCTCGCTGCCCAAATTTATCTGTGAAGCATACAAAGAAAGAGACTGAAGATATGTTTCTTTTCCAATGTGTGTGATTATTTTTTGAGGATTCAAGAAACATTTTTAAATTAAAATTATTCTGAAAAGCAAGAATGTTTAGAATCATCTCTTTTCACATTGCGACAATAACAAAGCCACTAAATTTGATTAGTGATAAACGTTCTTCCAACTAGTCCTCAACCCATTCCCAGACTTCCAGGAAATAATTGATATTTTATACTCCTTATTTTGATTCTATAGTTTGTCTATAGTTCTACTAATGTCATAACTATCTTGACACTCATCTTCCCTCATGGGCCAAAAGGGAATAGCCTCAGATCTAGAAAATACATTCATATTCCTCGACATACCAACTTTTTTCTCCCATCCACCCCCCATTCATTTCTCTCCCATCTGATACTCTCCTGCCATCAGTAGATTGTGTTCCTCCGAATGCATGTTGAGTCCCTTTTCTAGATGAAACACAGCGTGTGAAATGTTAAAAGCTCAGATGCTGGGCTATTGACTTGCATTTGAGTTCTCTTCCCAGTGATTACTCCAAGATGGTAGCTTTTATCTGAGATCTGGACTCTGGTACCCGAGGATCCTCTGTGTTGTGCAGGATGGTAAGAAATACACAAAGAATGATGCAGGAGGGGCTCATGGTCCTCAGATGCTCAGTTACTCTCTCCCTTACTGCAGTAACATAGAGATATCGTTATCATCGACCAAATTCCTACCAGCTGCTGGCAATGAAGAATGTCTATCAGATGGAACGCTTATTTCAGTTGAGATACAGAGGTAGGGTTGTTTTACAATGTCTCCTTGCTGTCTACAAAGACTTTCTGCCACTCTCTCCCTGGGAGTTATTTTAATACGTAGTTATCAGATTAATTCCTTAACACACCACGATCATCATTTCACTCTACTGGCCTGAAACCTTCTTCTGAGTCTCTGATGCATGTCCCAGACCCTCTGTGGTCTAAACCTGCTCATCCTTCTCTCCCTCCTGACCTCATGAATCTCTCCCTTTCTCTGAACCATGCTATTTCCTGTCTCCATCATCAACATGCTTGCCCCCACAGCTCTGTCCATCTCACTTACTCATTTTAGTCTCTCCCTGTTTTGTCTTCCATGCAGTTAAAGGCCACTTCCATAGAGTCTTCCCAGGCTCTTTGGAAGAGTCTTTGCCTCTTCTGAAAACTTGCATTATTGTTTTCAGTGTCAGAAATTCGGCCCTTGGTATGAACTATCCTGGAAGGCAACAGCATGGTAAACACATCACCAGCCAACAGTGCTTATCAAGCGCCTGCTATAGGCCAGGCACTGTGCTGGGTATGTGTGGAATCATCAACCTAAATCCAGTTTCCCTTCTTCCCAGCTCTGAGGACATGTGAATATTCAATCTGTGCCTCGAGGGCACCAATAGATATCAGACAGCTACTTAGGGTTACGTATTTTGTACAATGTTTGGTACCTATAACAGAATCACAGTTGTTATTGGGATTATTAATCAGTTTCAAGTACCCTTTCTGCACCTTTCATGACAAAAATTATCTCCTATTTCACTGTGTTCCTGACATCTAGCAAAATGCCCTGAATCTAGCTAACCACCAAGACCTAGCTGTTGATTACAATATAACAAACTGTTGCCACAGCTACCCTGATAAATGCACCCTAAAAAGCCCCAAATCAAAATATAAAATTCAGACCTTTAACCATCATCCTGGAAATCAGAATCCATGTAGAAATAATCAAATCATTTACACAATAAAAATCCACTCCAGGGTTGAGGACATTCACACTCCGTTACTTGCCAGAAGTGCAAAGCACAGATGCTCAAATTCTAGATCCAAAGATACAGCTTCCCACTGAGGAAGCTATTACCAGGCATGCTCTGGTTATCTTTGCTCAGTGTGCCCATAAACCCTGCTTTCAGCTGCTCACCTGTAATTTCCGCAAGGAGCAGGGATGAGTCAGTGTGAATTGTTCCAAAGTAGCAAGCCGTGGTTGTGCCATTCTTGAGTGTTCTCCGCTAAAAATAAACCACAAAAATCCTGAATCGCATGTGCTCAAAAGTCACATGGCACATGCAGATGAAATTAGAAGTCTGGTTTTTAATTTTAAAATGTGTTTATTTAAAGGTATGCCATCTTGATGTGGAAGAGGCCTAAGTAAATGGCAAAAGTATTTATATCTTCAAAGTGTGAGCTTAAGGAAAGGTTAGTGATTTTGATTTCCTAGATTCACATGATTGTGTGTGTTTCAGAGGTCGTAAAATGAGATGCCAATTAACTCCTTGTTCTTTGGGTCATTCAAGGATATTTGAATTTTGTTGATTTGCGAGTATACATGTGGGATATTTCAGTGTATGACAAAGTAAAATTATTGAGCCAGACTTCTGCTTCAACTTGGCAGGACAATGACTATTACGCCTCTTTTTTCCTTAGCAAATTTTCACTTGCTCTAAGTGAATAATAAGTGAGAGCAATATGGATTAACTCCCAAGAAAGACACAAGATGAGACAACAGCAGAGGTAAACACAGAGAAGAACCTGGAAATCTTGGGAAGAGGGTGGACAGATGGGGAGCTAGCAAGAAACTGTCTGGAGTCTGTGAGGTCACTTTCTCCCTACGGAAGCCACCCAACCATTCCTAGCCTGTTCTGTGTGGGGAGTCCCTCTCTGTAGAAACTGGTAAGTGTGGAAAGGGCACAAATCTCCCCTTCCCCCCAAAAAAAAACAAGATGAAGAAAGGGCTTAAGTAGAGATCTAGTTGATGTCCAGCATCTAGGGCATCACTTCCTCAGAACACCAAGGATGTCCCTCCCACCTCTCCTGAAGAATCCTTTCCTGTAGAAAATGAATGGCTACAAGATATGTTCTCTCAGTGACACTGGGGCCTGTGTGCTCCCTACAAAGTTCAGCCTGTAATAAGGTTTATCGGTCGGTCAGTGCTAAGATGGGTTTGAGGAAAGCCCTCCAGCCTGGGTTCTCATGAAGAAAAGCTTGAATTGGATGAGAAGCTGCAGTTTCAAACTGGACTAGAAAATTAAACTAAAAACACTAGAAAATTCAAAAATCTATGCAAAGAACAGTCAAGTGACAAGACAGGGAGGACACAAGAAGGAAGAGGTGGGGGGAGGGGAAGGGATGGAAGAATGCCAACTCTTTTAAGCAGAGGTCAACACCACCCTAATCTCTCTGTCAGCATGTGTTGACCTGCTCAAAACCAGAACTGAAAGTCATGTCTGGCAAATAAATACTTGCCAAGGATAGACCAGTTTAGAACCCACTGATTTTAGATTTATCTATTTATTATGTACACAGTGTTCTGCCTGCATGTGTGCCTGCATGCCAGAAGAGGGCACCAGATCTCATTACAGGTGATTATGAGCCACCATGTGGTTGCTGGGAATTGAACTCAGGATCTATGGAAGAGTAGTCAGTGCTCCTAACCTCTGAGCCATTTCTCCAGCCCGAATCCACTGACTTTGAACACCTACATTTCTAATAAAGAAATGGATCTCACCTGAGGGATATATAGTCTTTGCTTACTATCTCAAGTATGAAGATCTGATGTAGTGGGATTTTTCCCTTCTCTCTCTCTTTCTTTCTATCTATCTATCTATCTATCTATCTATCTATCTATCTATCTATTTTCTCTCTCCTGTCACCAATAATTTTTGCAAATATATTTTGACAGCAATAATATCTATCCACATTAAACAATGTCAAAATCTTTTTTTAACTTCAGTATAAAGAATAGATGTGCCTCTATCTCCCAAAAAATGTGGCTCTCAAAATCACACACACAGTGTGAATTTCATTTCCAATTTCCCTGTCTATATCATGTACTAGAAACATAGAGCCTAATTTATGGCAGACTCTACCAAGAGTGTGTGTTGACTTTGGGGTTCTATTTCTCCATTCCCCCTTTTTTCCTTTGCTGTGATTTGATGACTCATTTTCTTTTGCTTCATGCTGTGCAATTTTAAGCAATTTCAAACCCTTTTTAGAACAATGTGAAGTATAAATACGTTTTGAGGATAAAGATTTAGTGTGGGTAACGCAGTTCATTAGCACCATGTGCTAACCAATTCATAGCCAGCTTTCAGCCTGAAAACTTTTTCTAGTGTCATGTGGATGTGGCCTAAAATGTAAGCCCCACAATTATAATTAAGCAAGACAACTGAATGAATGCAATCGCTCGCTTCTATCCCTTGAGGCTGGAACGATACCAGACAAGGAGCTGGCAGGAAGGCCAGGCCAGTCCGTGCAGATAGTGTGGGGCCAGTATCGTAGAACAACCAGTAGGTCAAAGAAGAATCCAGGAGCACAGTCCGGAGCATTCACCGAGGGAGGCAGAGCCGGGAGAAAAGCGTTTGCAGTCTCCCCTCTTTACTGCGGATGGTGTTTCAGTTTCTGACTGTGCTCTTGCCCTGGAGTTGGTCTTTAGGAAAGAGGAGAAGGAGAGGCACTGTCCAGGCCATCAGCATGCAGTGGACACACACTGCAGCCAGGGCTCAGGGACTGCAGTGGCTCCGGTGTTTCTACGGATGCCATCAGTGCTCACATCATATTCCCACCTGTTCTGCAATGGGGGACCCATCCTCCCTCCTCGCAAACCCACCAAAACAATGTGGTAGCCTCCCCAAAGTAATATGAACTTTATTTTCCCTTGAACATTGATAAAAATAAAGAGACAAATGCAGCTCTTACCATGTTCTAGGCACTATTTTAAGGGACCCCACAAATATTAACCTGGTGAATTATCATAACAATCCCAGGAAGTAGGTACTATTGTTATCTCTGAGTTTCACAGATGGGGACGGTGAGTCACAGAACCTTCCAAAGGTCACACAGATATTCCATATGGTCCTCAGAACAGCATTGTGGATTGGCTGCAGCAAGAGAACACACTCAGAAGACAAGAAGAAGAGAATGCTGTAGAATCCATCAGGCCGAGACGAGGGTCGTTAGACTCAAATTGTCTCCTTGCCACTGAGAGGGTGTAACGCTCAGTGGATAATGAAAAGAATTAAAAACGTTGCACTCTGTGCCAAACTTAGCTTCCTCTACCTGAAGTCTGGTCCTAGAAGGGAATGTTTGCCTAGATGATCAGGCATTGCACAGCAACTACACACAGGATACTCACCACAACTCTAGTGTAGACTTCTTCAGCCAGATCGGTGCTCTGGAACCTTTGCTCTGTAGGAAATGTGTATTTGTTCAGCCACTCCAAAAGTGGCAGGTCTATGTTGCTTCCAGCAAAGGCATACTGAGGGGCGTGGATGTGTGTGTCGACGAGGCCTGGCATGAAGAACTCACTGAGAAGTAAAGAGAAAAGAAAATCATTCCAAACCGTCTTTAGACAAGGGGTTCATTTATCCTGGCCATTTACAACTATGAGTTTTCTTATTTTTTAAGAGATCAGAAAACAAGAATCGAGTTCTGCTAAGAGAGAGAGAGTGAGCACCCAAGTTGCAATGTGTGCGGTTCTAATCAGAGAGGGTGGAGGAAAGGAAAACAAAGATGTGCACAGAAGCTGCTGTAGCAGAAGAAAAGAGAAGAGCCATGGCCCCATTCAATGACTCTGTTTTCACAGGTGGACAGAGGGCAGAGGCTGGGATGGGGTCTTCAAGCTTCAAGAACTGGGCTGAGGGACAGGCACACATGTCACAGAGGAGGGCAAAGGCAAGAGATAGCGACCTAAGGCTCACTGGCCCTCTTCTTTAAAAGACTGCAAAAAATCCTGTCCTCCATGTGTTCAAAGGCTGCCCTTTCAGCAGAAGCATCAAGAACATGCCTGAGCTGGTTTGAGATCCTTGAGCTTTGTCAGGAAATTACTGAAATGAGCCGATGGTCTGAAGGTGAAATGACGAGGAGGCTGTGATGCTGTGAACACCAGCCATGCTTCCATTCTTTCTCTTTCCTTTTTGAGACATGATGTTGATGTGTAGCCCAGGCTGGCAATGAACTCGAGTGTCTCCTGCTTCCAGCTTCTGAGTGCTGAGGTGATAGCCATGCCCCGCTACACTCAGGTTACCATTTGTACTTCTCATTAGCTGAGTCTGACGATGCCACCCAGTCACATTTCTAGTTATTCTTATAGATATTCTGGACAGATATTTAAAAGTTTTCAGGAGCATTATCCACAGAAGGGAGTCAGGCCAATGCTAGCAGACATGTAAAAGCTCATCTAAAGAGCTAATTCAGTTCCATTGGGTATTCACTGTATCAGCTCATCCAAATGCAAAATATATTAACAGGTGATATATATTCTGCTACTTTTACCTAGAGCAACTGGGAAATCACCCAAGGAAGTTAAGCTTGACACTCAGTACCATAAGGAGAAAACCCTTAGCCAGGAAATAATATGTATCCATACATCCAGATATAAGATGCTGCCGTGAGTAGTTTTAAAATTCTCTATTTTCAAAAGACAACTAGAAATGTTAATGTGGCTGTGGCTATGGCAGCTAACACTGAATGCATGTATGTACTAGAGCTAGACACAGCTGAATATTGTGTCCCTTGCTGTAGGCGGCTTGCTATAACAGATTTATATACATACACACATATACGTATATATTTGTATGTACATACATACATTCTAGGTCAGACTGCCTGAGTGAGGACCCAGCAGCGGGATATGTGTCATTTGATCTGGTCTCGCTGTGCCTCACTTTCACCTTACGAAAAATAACGGAAGCTAGCAAAACATCTATGCTGATATCACAAATCTAGTATTGATTTTTTAAAAATTATTTATTTATATAGATGTTCTGCTAACTTTATATTTTGTGGACTACTGTGCTGTAAGCAATGAGTGGCTGAAACAAGTGTCTCCAAGTACTAACTCACATTCATTGGTCACCGTTTAAATCAATCATGATGTGTACCTCGGTTACATAGCCATTGTCTTTTGGTTATAGAATATATTGACTGTAAACCAGACTTCCATATTTTAAAAAGATGTTAACTGTGATAGAGCTGAAAGGGCATTTAAAATGTGTCTACATGGCTACTAGATAGTTCCCTATAAAATGAAATATAGATTATATATATTCAAGGGTATTTCTTGATGTATACATGCACATACACACATTTCATAAAAAAGAGAGAGAAAAAATAAGGAAAGCATTATGACCATAGAGTTGTTGGGAGGGCTGAGTTATTGTGTGCAGGAGTGGTGCCTAGCAAATGAAAGTATCAGTAAATGCTGGTGGTGGAAATGTAATGTTCTCAACACATGGAGCAAGCGAGTGGCATCCTCATTTGTACATCAATAAATGCAAGCTCAGGAAATGTCCTTAGCTTGAAAAAGCTGAGCATTGGCTTGTGAGCTTTGAAGGGGAGTCTTGACCTTGACAGCTCCCCGGTAGGCTCAACATTCTTGTTCACTATAACGTATATGACAAAGAACAGTGACAACTCATGACAAAGAAGGGAGTCTACAATGTGAAATGTGTCAGTCCCTGTCCTCTCTGGGTGCCTCTGCCTTTGGGGCTCTTACTCTCTCTAGCATCACAAAATGAAACAGCTTTTGAGTTAGTGTGCAGTTGGGTGGGTACTCATCAGTCATGTTTAGGAACTCAGTTAAGATTTATAGGGGGTTGTCTGCAGAGAAATAAGACACCTTCTTGTCTTCAGAGACTTTATGATAGCTCAAGATATTAGAGAAGTGCGTGTGTCAGGGAGGGAAGGGGGAAAGAGAGAGATCTTGTCACACAGAGGCTCTTAGTGAATAATTTCACTAAGAGTCTACTCAAGATAAATAAAGCATAAATTTATAAAACAGATTTTGCAAGAATGTTTGCAGTAGTTTTGTTCATATTGTAGCCCCAAACAGGAAACGATATAAATAACTGTCATGGAAAATATGGATAAACCAACTGTGGCCCAATGGAGTACTATTCAACAGAAAAATAAAAAAGCAAAAAATTACTCTTCCAATATGAATCACTTCCAAAACATAACATTGAGGGGTCAAAGGGATCGCTGAATGGACAGAGTATTTCCTGGGCAAGCGTAAGAACCAGAGCTCAAATTCCTAATAGTCACCCACACACAGGAGGGCATGGCGGCTCACCTTCAATCCCAGGACAGGGTGGGGGCAGTGACAAAGGGCCCCAGAACAAGCTAGCTGAGTAGATTAGCTGAGGTGGTAAAGTTCTGGATTTCAAGAAAGAGACCCTGCCTCAACAACTGAGGTAAAGGATGGATGAAGAAGATACTGTGTCAAATTCTGTCTTCTACATGCATGTGCACAGGCATATATCCCTGTACATACAAACACGATGAAAAAATACACAAGCTAAAACACTCTTGTAATCTTCTGTGCAAAAAGCTTCTGAATAAAGATCATGTGACGAGAACAGAAAAGCAAGTAATAAATACGAGAGGAAGAATTTAATATTTTATCAGTACCTGGAAGCAAAGGAAATGATTCAGAAAGACAAAGTTTTGAGGATATTGAGGGTGAACACACGACATGCCAAGGATCCGCTTGGAGAGTCAGGTGTGCAGGACCACATGTCAGCCCAAGCCACATGTCAAAGTATGATGCGGTAGACCGTTTCACGTTTCTGCAACAAACTACCTAAGTGTGGATACTTCACTTTGAAAAGAGGCTCACACTTCTGAAAACCACATCTAGTCCCTAGCTTGTGACCTCTAGCTGTCCAAGAAGTTACTGATGATGTGGGACAAGTGGTCAAACAATAGTTAAAGATAGGATTCAAGGTTGGAAAGCTTTTCTACAAACTGCTAACGCCAGAAATTTCTGTAGAAATAAACAAACAAAGCTAACTTTTGAGCAGCAGCATCCACTTAAGGACAGAGGAAGAAAAGAAGGCAATAATTGACATTGGCAGAACTGTTGTCAAGAAACCAGGACACAGAGCTATCAGTGAGAGTAACAGAGGCAGGGGAGTGACCAGTGACAAAAACCTGAAGGCAAAGGATATGGAGACTATAGGACCTCTAATGCAATGATCCCATGGTGTTCAACTTCAAAGAAGTTCACCCACTGAGTCTCACTGATTTAGTTCTGTCCAACATGGTGAGGGCTGATGAGCTCCACATGGGGGTCATAGAGAAAGAACTGGGCATATTTCATAGCAAAAGTCAGGATGGGAAGAGTACATGAGAGTTCATTGTTTTTTAATGCAAACCTGTATGTGCTTATCAGGAACAATAACTCAGGAGCAAGAGAGGTGCTTGAAGGTGCTTGAGTCTTCAAGAGCAGAAGTAGAACAGGAAGGACTGACTGTGGCCAGAGTGTGGCTTTTACCCAATACAGGAAGCGCTGGAACATGACCCCAGCAAATCCACACACTCAATCATGAGTATAGTGTGTGTTGAGATAAAGATGCGTGTAGGATGTGAGAGATGCCCTCGGAACAAAGTCCTTCAGTGCACTACTTCACTTTGCCGAGAGAAGCTGCAGTTCAAGGATGGTTACAGACTCACAACTTGTCAACACCGCAGTCAAGGTTAGAAGTTTGTTCACCCTTCATAAAATGAGCTAGGTGGTAGCTATCAAGAGCCAACTTGAGGTGGAGCAGAGAGGCGGTCCACAGGCAGCACCAGAAGGAGCTCTCCTTTTCTCTCAGCTTCCTGCTTCCCATGTTATTTATGCTCAGCATAATTCCCTTAGAAATCATACTTCCCTTAGTGGAAGCCTAGCCTTATAAAATACAGAAAAAGAACAATATATGACCCCATATACAGTAACCAGAACACCTACCCACCTTTTATATATTTTTTTTATTTTTATCTAACTTTACTTTTGCACTGCTGGAAATTAAACCCAAGGACTTACATAATATTATTACATGTATAATAAGCATATGTTATATTACTAATATATATATCCACAGTTCCATTCCCCTGAACCCCACCCACAGCTTCTCATTTCCTTTTTGAGGGGAGGTTTCAATATGGAACCCGGACTAGCCTTGAAATTGCAGTTCTCCTGGCTCAGCCTCCGTGTGATGGGATTACAGGCATATGGTGGCATTCCCCCACCCTGCCATTCTAAACAAGTGGCAAACAGGGAAAGAAGCCGTACAATCAGAACAGTTGGCAGAGGGCCCCAGTCTATTTGCATACCATCATTAGTTCAATGGACTTCCAGCCACATTACCCTCAAGTCACTTTCCAAGTTTTAAACGCATTTGCAGAATAAAAAATGGTGGTGCCACTCTTTATTTGGTTTAAAAATACAGCCTTCTGAAATCAGATAAAATATTTGAGCTGAAGACAAGTGTTCTCATTTGTATCAAACAAATCAACCAAGCTATGGAGACATTGAGCCTTGCACAAGGAGTGTGTTTTATACAGATAGTAAAGCCCATAAAAAATTCAACTCAAACACATTTTGAACACAGGTCTTCCCTAAAAATGCTGTTGGAGTGAGTAGCTCCTCAAACTGGTCCTTAATAGTTTTCCTGTTTTTTCCCTCCTATCCCCTGTCCCCCATGTTTATATGGAACTAAAAACTTGTTAAGATTCAGCCCTGCACACAAGACACTCAACAGATGTTTGCTGAAGAAATAAAGGAACCATGCCAGCCTCTGGTCCTCAAAGCTTCTGTCCTTCACTGGGCCTTCCACTTGCCCATCTTCCCTACTAATGGTCAACTGGTTATTTAGAAAGCCCTTCCTCTCCTTTGAACCTTGATACTGGCTTCCAGCAAAGGGGAAGGTGTTAGCAGAGACTTACTGGTGGCTCAGCTCTCTGATCTCACATGGTTTGAAGCACCATTCTTTGGCCAGTTTTTCTTGCTGAGATGATTCTTCTAGAAACACTATCTTTAAGAGAAAGAAAGAAAAAAAAATCAGATATTAATAAATCATAGCCACCTGTGGACACTAAACATACAAATGTTTTCAAAAGAGAGTGATGCTTAGCTAATTTTAAAAGATATTTGGTATCAAATGGGATTGATTTTGGAGGTAAAAATAGGACAATAGTTTGTATCTGGTTATCCTTAGAAGTAAATCGCGTGCAGCTTCTCTTTTGCAAGTATGTAGAGCACCTGAGACTCCAAATGTGTTCTTCTGAAGACTCAGATTGTCAGGGACAATGCACATTATTTATCTGTCATTAAAGTGATTAAAGGAAACAATGCTGTGGAAAACACCCAACTTCAACCTAATAGGAGATGACTGTTGTTAGGCTGTTATGGGAGACACTACTGGTGCTTTTTAAGGTTACTGTGGAGACCAAACGTGACAATTCTTGCGATGAAATTAGCATATCCTAGAATATAGTAAGTGGTCAACTATATCTATGGCTGTTTTGCACACTGTGGCTGCCTTTTCTATCAGCTAAATTGTTCAGCAAGGAAACATAGAAAGCCATGAGGTTAGAATGCAGAAAACATTCCCAGTCTGTTTGGTCTCTTGGATTGCTTTGTTTTGCTGTGTTAGGATGTAGGGCATGGTATGATAAGCAAGTGCTCTATCACTGAGCCAGGCCCTAAGGCCCTCCCTGTTTTAGTTTTAGATGCAGTATTATGAGAAAAAGGCGTTTCATTGAAAATTAAAATTTAAAAAACCTCTAGAAAAAATTGTTTACCCAATGGAGTAAATAGTTTTGTGTAACTGAAAAAGAAAACATTGATTTCTTTGTTCACTGCAACATGCCTTTTAAAAACTGTGATATTGATTAGAAGTAATTCCTAAGTTAAAATAATGAGATGTCTATAAAGATCAGTTTGAATCAATAAATTTAAAAAAAAGAGGAATCAACACTCATCAAAGCCTAAACATAATTATTTTAAAAGCCACAAACTTATTTATCAATATTTTTCAAAAGTGATCTAAGCTTCATAAATAAGTAGTATAGTTTTAAAAAAACCTTATGCAACCTACTTAAAATATATTAGGAATAAATGTTTTTGAGCAAAATAAAAATGAACAAAGTTTATTCTAGAGAGAGAGAGAAATCAAATGGTGAAACTGAGGTAGTTTTGCTACCCTTGTGGGAAACTCATGATCAGCAATGGCTTTTGACAATAAACAGATTTCATGGAATAAAGCCCTTATGTGGGCTTGATTATTATGTAATAATAATATACTATGTAATACAAAATACCCATGCCTAGTACCCTGTGACATTTCTCTGGTACTGTGGTCTTTGCTGTCAACAGAACAAATAGACTGGCAGATGAACTAATCGTTTATCACCTAATAAAGCACTAAAAATAACTTTGCCAATTAAGCTATATTTCAACCAAATAATTTAAAAATTCAAGAAATCAGTAAGTACTGCTATAATAAAAATTTTCCTACTCCCAATTTTGTTTTATTTGTATGAAAATGGCTTTCATCATTGATACCTATGAAAACAGAAAATAAGAAAAATTATGCTGCACCTATTTCATGCTCCCAAGCAATAAGCACTGACCCATAATGTAATTGCAGAAAATAATGTTTTATTTGCATGTAACAAATTATCTTCCAATACACACAATAGACATTTATAAACTTCCTCATGTTTTGGGGAAATTTTAAATGTTTCATTTTATGCCCATGAATGTTATTATGATAGCTTTTCTTTTTTTCTAAGATTTATTATTCATACAGTATTCTGCCTGTATGTGTGCCTGTAGACCAGAAGAGGGCAGCAGATATTATTACAGATGGTTGTGAGCCACCACCTGGTTCCTGGGAATTGAACTCAAGACCTTTGGGAAAATAGCCAGTGCTCTTAACTGCTGAGCTATCTCTCTAGCCCTGATGATAGCTTTTCAATAAGACTTCCAAGAAGAAAACATAGTGCATTAGATTAAAGCTGTGTAATGGATTAGAACAGCATTCATAACTCAGCAGGGAAGGAGAGACTGCACAGCATTTCAGACCATTGCAAAGGAGAAAGTCTGTATTTGAGTCTCACTATGTCACCCTGGCAGGTCCAGAATTGCTATGTTGACCAAGCTAGCCTTGAACTCATAGAGATTTGCCTGCCTCTGCCTCCCAAGTCCAGAGATTAAAGGACTTAACACCCCTGCCCCCATCCAAAACATTTTAAAGATTAATATCATGCTTTATTTGAGTGGATATTTTTAAACTGCTACAAATGATGGGTTTTAAATATTTACCTTTAACAAGTCGTACATACCACTAGTGTTTAAAACCTATACTGTTTTCAAAAAAAAAAAAATTAAGGAAAATGTGAGTTTTTTCTTTTTTAAGAGTCAAGTATATTGTGCAGACATTCACAATGCTGATTTTATAGCTACCATTTCTCCAAGACCCTCACTTCATCTGTCTTCAAAGTATACACCACACGTAGTAAAAGACTGCAATCTCAGAGTCAGAAAGGACTAGTTAGATACAACAAAACAGAATAATGATTAAACTAATGAAGACATAGTTACTGAATGGGAAACTGTCCTTTATATCCTTTACATAATGCTAAGTATCTTTTAACAAATCCAGGTTACCATACATGTATAGTGACACTTTTGATAATGATACGTAGGTATGGGTGTGGTTAACATGTGCATGTGAACATGTATGTTGAAGGGATGGTGTGTCTCTGTACAGAAAAAAAAAATTGACGGTGATTTCACTTTCTTATGCTCACCATAAAGCTAATTCTACTGACAACGCATAAGAAAATGTAAAACGCAAGCCTGAGAAATACTGAAGTCTAGTTTCTACACTCAGAGCCCATGGGTGGGGAGTTAAAACACACCCAGAGAGGTGAGGAATAAGATGGGCGTGGAGAGGGCGGGAGCATGCTGAGGCCATTCTCCCACTACATAAGGTCTCAGGAAGGGTCAGAATCTGGAAAAACCAGGAGGGAGTTGGCATTCAATAAATATCCAGGGTGGGGGAAAAGAGACGGAAGGGGGACTGACAGGGACACAGGTGAGGAAGGGGAAAGCAATAGGAGCCCTGCGGATAAAGGCGGACTGTCCGTGTTGTCAGAGCGGTGGGCTGGGAGTGCTTGAATTCACAATCCTTTTTTATTTCTTGCTCTCATTTGCATATTTGTTCATCCACTACTGTTTGTGGACTTGTTAAACAGTGTTATCACATGGATTGGAAGCCATCAGTTCATAGTGAACAGAACACTATATAATACGGCATTTAGTATGAAATGTTGTTATGGAGGCTGATTGAAGAAGGGACTAAAAGTGGTCTCTCCGAGAGATGCTGCTGAAGCATAGATTTACATAAAGGTGGAGGTGACTTTCATACTCTGAGAGCATCAAAAGACCAACACAGGATGTGCTGCAGGTATGTTCAGAAACACCAAACATAACTAGCGGAGACCCAGCCCAGGCACTAGGAAAAAGAGTGGAAGGGATCCAGACCAGAGGCAATCAGAAGTTGTAAGGCATGTTCAGCCTTCAGGTTTTAGAAAATCTCTAAAAATCTGCCGGAAAATATGGTTGATGCATCCTTTATGGTTCAGGGGCCTCCTTTCCCCTAGAGTGTCTGGGCTTATGATGCCATTCATTCGCTTGTTCATTCAAGCGCCTGACATGGCCCTCCAGCCTTCCTCCTTAGAGGCTATGGTCTCAGTCTAGGCAAGCTGTCAATCACATACACAAATTATTAAAAACGAGGTTTCCTGAAACCACCGACTTCCAGCTGGAAGGGGCTTTCTCTGCCAAACTCAGTTTTCCAGACGAGGAACCTGACTGCCTTCTGTTAAGCAAACAAGTCCAAGTGCCTTTCACTTGAAATGAGGGGTATTAGGATGATAATGTCAGAAATACTAAATCCAAAGGCAGATGAATAATGACTATAAGCTTATGACACAAGTCCCTGCAAGATATAGGCTTCAAACAGCAGATGGAAATTTTGGACAAAAGGCTCGTTGCCATGGTGTACAGTAAACTTCTGGACAATTGTGAGATAGCTCAGCTATGCAACAAGGAGGTAGCTTGTGCCTGTACTCATCACAAAAACCTACTCAAGCTACTGTGATGGGTGATAAGACAAACGATATGACACTTTGGAGATGGCCGAGGCCATTGGCAAAGACAAACATTGGTATGTTAGAACAATTAATGTCAAACTGATTAATGGAAAAGTGAGATGGGTTTGAAAAGCAAAAGTCAGCCTGTCAAAGTACAGTGAAATGAAAATTGCCACAAAGGCACCAAAGAATAGCCTGAAGGGCTTTGATTTTCTGATCTAATATTCCTTTTATGAATAAGGGAGCAGATCAATCCATATGATCATCCCAGGTGCAGAGCAAACACGAATATTTGCTAGGATACATCATCTTCCCAGGCAGCTGACTGCTTGTCTGGTAATATAAACTAGAAGTGATAAAAAAACCAAACCAAAACAAAACAAAACTTTCCCCAGAATCTCAGATACTAAGTATTTTAAGCGTAGGGGAACACTATCACACATTCTTCAGTAGACCAATAAATAAAAAGCATGAAGGAAATTAATTGAAAAATTGAATCTATTACAAAAATAAATGATTCATCCAACCTGGATCTGCAACAAAAGACCCACCTTAGAGAGTGCCAATCCCTCACACTATGAACGATCCTCTGTTAAGCTTGCAGACAGGAGCCTGTCAGAGTTGTCCTCTGAGAGGCTCTACCTAGCAGCGCTTCAAAACATATGTTCAGACTCACAGTCAATCGATGCTTAAGGAGTCTTGGGGAATAGTGGGAGGAAAGAGAAAAGGACTTGCAAGTGACAGGAGCGCCACAAGAAAAACAACAGAGGGTCCAGAGGGGTGTGCTGAGAATTAAGCAACAACCAAGGACCATGCATGAAATGGACCTAGGCCCCTACAGAGATGTAGCAGATGGGCAACTTAGGCTTCA